GTCACACTGCTTGCTGGGGATCTCCTCTATGCTTCGTGGGAAGGGCAGTCTCACTCACCACTGAGTGGTATAGAGGGAGCCTCTCAGTAAGGTACCCTCCCGTGGGATTTCTACGTACATCCAAGGAGGCATGGCGACTGAGGGGATATTCCCCTCTGCTTCCCAGCCAGAGGATGCGTGATAAAGCACACGATGGCAGTAGGAAGACCTGCCTTTTGCCTTCCTTCTTCTCTTCCAGTCTCAGATATCTACCTGGGGATTCTAGGTGATCATAGGAGGCCACCTGGGATTGGACTAAGTCTAGGACAATGAAGATTTTTAATACTGACAATACTGAGCACCAAAATAGTTTCATGCATTTGATAAGCCCAGAATGCCACATGATCTCCCTTTCATTTGTGCTGAACATCTCACCAACAGAAGCTCCAACTTGGACTGTCAAGAAGGATTCATTTAGAAATACGATCAGATGAATGATATCATATCTCTTGGCCAGCTCTCCTTGCTCAACAGAAGTGTATAGTTCTAAGAAAGTTGTAATCTTAGATTGCAGGAAATAAAGCAATAAATGCAATGTCAGACCCATAAATTAGGTGCATGAATTTCCCAAAGAATCCCACAGGTCTTTCCACCGGCATTCCGACAAAAATCTGAAGTCTACCTAAAATCTATCTGGTTTATAGGGGAGATGCAGGTAGTGGGGATCCAGTAACATTACTATACAAGAGGTGAGGACAACAGGGAGCTGGTGGTCCCAGGCTGCCCCCACTACAAATAGTTTAGGTACTCTTAGTGTCCTGTTCTGTGCATTGAAAATACTGATGCTATCTAGTAGATGGAAGATGATAATAACAACCACTGAGAATTTTATTTTGGATGTGTGTGCCCACCTGGCTTGTATTGCAAGGACATGACTGGACGAAGCCGGGAGGAGTACTCTCAATACGCTTTGCCTACCCTAGTTCTTTGTCCAGCAAGAGACAGGACCTGGTTGTCACAGGAGAGACAGAGGAATATTGTGATATACAGTACTTTCATTCTACAGCTGACATGCCCCACTGTTGGTTTTGAGCTTGTCTAGCTGAAATGGGGGCATAGAACAAAGCAAGGGTTGTGCCCACCCACTGGCATTGAAGTATAATCAGCTCCTAATGAATTCAACATCTAGAAAAACAATGTCCTGTCAGTAGTAGCCCAGGACTTCATGTCATCTAGGACAACCATTTTTCTGTCCCAAAGAATATCTGGCCCAACTCATATTGCAGGATGTACTCTGGAACCGGTTTTCTTGATCTTGGTGCAGAGGAAAGCTTTGCAGTTTATTATCATGGACAGATCACCACCTGCTAGAATGCAGTCATATCGACATTCATATCTTCTGAACTGGAGAGGGAGACAAATAAGATGGTCCACCTCAGGAGACTGGTGGGTCTGAATGTCTTCCTTCTATTTCTTGAGAAATTTTTTACCATTTCAAACTTTTCTAGATATTGTTTTGTACTCGTTTCCAACAGCAGCAGTACCCATTCATGTAATTTTTAAAATGTACAAGCTTTCATCCAAGATTTTTCAAGATGTCAAATTTCAACATAAGCCACAAAAACTATTTTGGAGTAATGCCACTTCAGGGTGTGTCCTGCTACACATTGTAGCAGAATAGCTCAATGGAGTATTGTATTGAGGTAGGCCATCTCTTTATATCTTGGCCTAATTGTCTGAATTGATGTGGAATGGCATAGGAACAGTTGGAAAACATGCTGGTTGATATCCATCTACAGTGGAGATGGCTTTACCAAATAACAATAATTGTGGTCAACAGGAGATACAATAAGTCCAAGTTTCAAAATTTTGTGGGCCCTTGACCCAAGAATGTTGTCTTTGTATATATACAGATACATGCAATGCATACATACCATACACACACATGATGGAACATGTAGCATAATGCTATATGTATCACACAACTTCTTAATTTTAATAACATGTGATGGCTATGCTCAAACATATGATAGACTCACTGTCTCCTAAAATAGCTTGAGTGTAAATAGGTACTGTAGATAGTGGTTGTTTTTTTTAACTATTTAAAAAAAGTTTATTAACTAAAATATAAACATAAAATACACAAATCAACATACAATAATCTTCTTCCTCCATCTATATTCTTCCTCTTATTGTTCTCTTCTCCAGAACTGCATTGATTCTTGATTTGGAGCTTTCTTCTTGTTAATACATATTCCAAGAACCTGCCCCACATTTCATAAAAATATTTTTTTCAACTCTCCTTTCTTAACTTTTAGATTACAAGTTAATTTATCATTTATAGCTATATTCCATATTTCATTATACCATTCATACATTTGAAATTCAGATTTTGATTTCCATTGCCTAGCTATTATTAATCTTGCTCCTGTTAGTAAATTACTTATCAATTCTTTAATCATCTTATCATATTCTACATTCTCAAATATTGATAACAAAGCGATCTCAGGATTCAGTTCTATGTCTTTTCCACATATATCATTTAATTCTTTAAAAATTTGTTTCCAAAATCTTTGGACGTTTTCCACATTCCCACCACATATGAAATTATGTACCGATTTCCTTCTCACATTTCCAACAGACATTCAGATAACTAGCATTAATTTTGTTTAATTTTGTTGGTGTTAAATACTGTCTTAAATTTTTTCCCCTTATACTCACTGACATAAATCTTAAAGCCCTCATATTCCACATCTTCCTCCATTATTCCTCGTTTATCCTTTTTCCAAGGTCTTGTTCCCAAACTAGCTTAATCCCTTCTTTATCGCTTTCTTCTTCTAAATTTAGCAGGAATCCGTAAATTTTGCTCACTTTGCCCTTTACTGAATCAGTCATCTGAATGTCTTCATATGATAATAGAAATTGTTTGTACTTTGTGTATTCTCTACCTTCATTATATTTCTTTACCCATTCATTAGTCCATCTTTCTAATTGTATATAGTTCAACCATGAGATGTTCTTACTCTGAAGAATTTGTTTCATTTGCTCTATTGATTTCATTTTGTACAACCAATCTTTCAGACTAATCACTTTTTTTCTCTAAATAATTCCACATACACTTTCATGTTGTCAGGAAAATTCTTTATTTCTGTCACTAATCCAGATGGAGAGTTAGATGAGCATAAATTCTTTCTATATTTATACCATATGTTTAGCATTGTCTTTAAGAACGGGTTTTTAATTTCACATTTTATTCTTCTTAACCATACCAAATAAATATTTTTCAATATCAATTACTACAGCGGTATTTTCCATATATAGTTGGTCTATTATCCCCCTAAATTTCTTTCCAAAACCACAGCCCTTTAAAAGAATCTTTAATGTTGGCCATTCTGCGCAGTCAAATGCCTTAAAAACATGAAAAATACCTGCCTTTAATTTATATTATATATAATGTTCAAGACTCTCCTAGTCAAATTTTCCATTTGTCTTCTCTTTATAAACCCATTATGATCTTCTTTAATATATTTTGTGATAAACTTATTTATTCTATTCAAAAGTATTGCTGTAAATATCTTTGCATCTTGGTTTAATAATGAAATGGGCCTATATGAACTTGGGTCTGTTAAATCTTTATTGGGTTTTGGAATAAAAGTTATCAATGAATGTTTCCAAGAGTCTGGTCTTTTCTCTCCTTCCAATATCTCATTAGAAAGCATTTTTAATGTAGGAATCAATATTGATTTAAAGGTTTTATAATATTTTGGTCCCATTCCATCAAAACCTGGAGTTTTACCATTTTTTAATTTATTAATCACCTCTATAATTTCTTCATCCTTTATCTCTTTTTCTAATTCTCTTTTACCATTCTCTAATAGTTTATTCTTAACATTTTCTTTAATATACTTTTCTATATCTCCTTTCGATACACTGTTCCCTTTATATAAATTTTGATAGAATTCCTGTATTATCTTTAATTTTTCCTTCATTATACTACAGTTCTTTCCTGTTTCATCTTTAATTACTCCAATTGTATTTTTTGATCTATTGTATATTTTGTACTATTCTAGCTAAAAGCTTTGAATTTTTATTACTAAATTCAAAAAAATTCCTCTTTGCATATATCAAGTCCCTCTTTACCCTTTCTAACTCCAAACTTTCTAATTCCTTTCTTTTAGCTTGAATCGCTAGTATTTTTTTATCCCTATCTATAAAATATTAACTTTCTAGATCTTTTAATGATTTTTCTATTTTTCTTATATTTTCTTCTCTCATTTTTTAAAATTTTACAGGATTCTCTTCTAGCAATTCCTCTCATAATTTACGTTATAGTGTCCCATAACACTCCTATTTTGTTCCCACCTGCTTCATTAATTGTCCATATTTCCAACCATTCTTTCTTAACTTTACCCACTACATCTGGATACTGAAAAATATTGGAGTCTATTCTCTATCTCTTTGCTTCTCTATAGTCCATTACTTCCATCTCCATCACCATCAACACATGATCTGTTTTATCACATTAATATTTCTACTACTTTTAAAATTAAATTTTGCAATATGAACATAGTAGATAGTGGTTGTCCATTAAAAGCACTCCAAGCCAACCATGATTATTTTTCATCCTCCCTCCAAAAACCCACAATTTCAGCCATCTTGTGGTTACATCTCTAAGGGAAAGAATTTAAGAAGAAAAGCATTCCACAGTCAGGAATGGAGATATTAAGTAGGTTATCTGGCCTGCAGAAGTAATATATGTATTCCATTAAACACCTGTTTCATTCCATGAACACACCAGTCTGTGAGTTCAAACTGAAGAACATAGCAACCATACAAAAAATTTCACATTCATTTCTACACAAACATTTTTCTCAACGTACACATCTTTTTCAACTAATGTTTTGTGCAAGAAATTGAACTACATAGGTGTTCAGTTACATTGTTTTGCCAAAAATGTAGGCTTAAGACAACTCTTCAATGTCTTCGTCAAGTAGTCCAAAAGACATTTAATTCCTTCTTGGCTGCATACTTATAAATTGGTATTCCTGAATCCCAAATTACCACCACTTCTTTTTCTTACTAATTGGTCTCGGGTGTTTAGTTCAGGCCGGAAAATCATAATGTAGCATTTAGGGAAGAAGAAGCAACCCAACAAGCCACCACTAGAGGTCAAGATGGAGAAGACCTCCACAGCCACTGTGTATTTCCCTTTGGTGCCAAGGTAGGCTGGCACAAAAGATGCCCATATGCTGCAGAAAACCAACATGCTGAAAGTGATCAGCTTGGCTTCATTAAATGAGTTGGGCAACCTCCGGGCAAAGAAAGCCACTGTGAAGCTGATAATGGCCAATAGCCACATGAAGCCCAGGACAAGGTAGAACATGAGATCTGAACCTTGGTTGCATTGAAGTGTGATGGTGTCACTCTGGGAATGCATGTCAGATTCTGGAAATGGGGGAGAAATGGCCAACCAAACAATGCAGATATCAATTTGAATCAGAGAGGGTAAGATGATGACTGACAGAGCAAGTCTGTTCCCAAGCCATCTCCTCATCTGGCTTCCAGGCTTGGTGGCCATGAAGGCCAAAATCACAGTCAAGGTTTTGGCTAAGACACAAGCGATGGACACAGAAAAGATTATACCAAACACCATCTGTCTCAGGAGGCAAATCACCTTCCCAGGCCACCCAATGAAGAGGAAGGAACAGAGAAAACAGAGGAGCAGAGAGGAGAGGAGAGCACAGGTGATTCCCCAGTTATTGGCCTTGACAATGGGAGTGTGGTGGTAGAGAATGAATATTCCCATTACCACAACTGTGTTCCCACTAAGGAAGAGAGTAAAAGACACCAGAATTGCTCCCAATGGTTCACCGTAAGACAGGTAGCTTAACTTTTTACCAATGCACCAATTTTTGTTCTTGTTTGGATAATGGTCCACAGGGCACTTCTCACACTGACCTGCATCTGAAAAGGAAAGACTAGTTTGAGTGTTGCGAGCATATAGAAGTACCTTATTTTTTAGTGTATAAGACATCCCCCCACTTTTCTAATCAAAAATCAAGAAATCTAAGTGGGGCTTAAGAAGTGTAGGGGGAAATGGACCAAACCGCTGCAGGATTGCTTTGATCCCTGCTTTCTCCCTTCGTGCTAAGCCCCACAGGGCTTATCAAAAGGAGGGGGAAAGGGATCGAAGACATCCCACGACTGCATAATCATTTTGATTCCTTTCCCCCTTATACATCCAAGGGATTGCTTTGATCCTTTCCCTCCTCCTTTTGCTGAGCCCCATGGGCTAAGCAAGTGGAGGGGAAAGCAGGGATCAAAGCTCTGCAGGATCACTTTGATCCCTGCCATCCCCTCCACTTGTTTTTGTTCTATCCTCAGGTTGCTTCCGTGTATAAGACCACTGTCAATTTTTTCTCTATAGATTTTAGCCAAAATATAGTGCTTTACACAGAAAAAGTATTTCCATGTTCACCTACCACTGACTGAAAAATGCAAAGAATCCATGGACCTCTAACCAGTTTTTTCAACAGTAACATTAATTTCTCTTTCAGAATGTTCTTTGGTTTCAAGAAATGCATTTCCTGATTTGGTATCAGGAAACCAGGGAGAGGGATCTTCAACTGAACGTCTATGAAAGTCTGAAATGCTTCACTTACCCATCTGGGTTGAAATCCTCCCTTCAGGGCACTCCACACAATCATAGCAACACACTTGCTTCCCTGGCTGGACAAACATGCTGTGCCCAGGATGGCAACTCTCAACACAGGTGGATCTGGGCAGCTTCAAATAAGAAAAAAGGAGTGTTTGGAATATGCTGCCTTTATTTTTGAAGAACAAATCATTACAGATGCTTTTTAGCTTTTACATAGGGACATACACCTCCACAGCCACTATAACAAACAGAAGTTAAGGTGATATACCGGCCAAAATGCCATTATTGGCAGGAACGGCAATTGTGATTGTAGACAATAATGAGTACTTTCCCCTTCATTTTGGGGCTGTCAAAGGCTTCCCTAGAATGCAGTGAATTACAATGGATCTATGGAACCTTGGAGCACATTGAGTAAACATCTCTTAATTACCCTAAAGACTTGTGATTGTAGATAACATTCAAGTTCAGTGACATAAAGTTGCACAAGGGAGTTTCATTTCATATTCCCCCCATCCATCCAGTGGCCAGAGCACTACTCCAGGCAGCTACATCATGTACATCATGATGAACATAAATTAAATTCAATAATGATATAAATTAAAATATTAAATTAAAAACCCTTCCAAAATTAACTATATAGAAAATTCTAAACTAATGCAAAGTTTGGTGGTGAAACCATAACAATCAACCCATAAACTGTGGGTCGTCATAAGAGGTACACAGACCAAAATTAAATTTCTGCCACTGAATCATAGATATGACAGCTGCACAGGACTGCATCTCTGATATTGGATAACAAATCAACATTCTGTTGTCCCTTTCTGATAGGAGGGCATATTTCAAGAAACAAGCTATAACATTCAGGAGGTTCTTGAATGATGGCTATATCTGGAAAAGTGATTGATGATATTTTGGATTTCCTCTTTGTCAAATATGGAGAAGATTGGACATGTACTTAGAAATCTCCTTGCTGTTTTCCAAAAACATTCCTAATCCACCCCCATGTTACAGTTCAGTTTGAGAAAGTCATGAGATTCAATTCCTTCTGAATGCGAGAGATTTGCTTTTGTAGCCATGATTCAAAATGCCGGAATGGGAAGACTCTGAGAAATGGGGGGGAAGATGGAATCGATGTGGAAAAATCAGGCTTTTCTGTGAGTGGCTGGGAAAATCTGACTGGGAATGTGGCTATCAGTGTATGCCTAATCATGAGGAGGATGTAACACCTGCAGCTTAGGTCTTCTGAGGGCAGCCTCCAAAGCAA